ATGTTCAAAAAGGTTATAACTGTACAAAATGAAAATATTTAAGAATCACTAGAACCTATTTAATTTTTTAAAAATAAATTTTCCATGATATATAAGTGTTAATGTACTTATTTATACTACATTCAATGAAAAGGCTACAAAATTGAGATTAATTAACTAATTATTATGATGGTAAAGCGAGTTGTAATTTCCTTGCTATTTTTTTTATAGTAGAAAATATTTTACGGAAATTAAACGATATGCAATAACCTTATGAATCGGAAGGCTATTTGTTTACAAAAGGTCAAAATGTTTTAAATTTTTAACTCGATATCATAATTTTCTATTGCTTTTACATTTAGTGTATTTAGTTGTAAATAGTAAGCATAAACATTGCGAATGTGTTACTAATGTAATGTACTTGCTTATAACGTTGTAAATCAGTACATATTGCATCGTATATTATCAACATAACAACTGTAATAATGTAACCCCATTACATTATATATAGAGTCCGGTGGCCGATATCCCTTCACTTATACTACCACTGCGCGTGCAGTGTTTTCATTTCAGGACAATCGGTTGATTTATGACTTGTAATATTATGTGCTTCCACTAAAGCAACGTTAATTAGACGGATGATCCGAGGTCATTGGATGAGGGCTCGAACCCTAACCGCTGGTACACATCGATATTGAACCCTTTGGGGTGTTTGCCGTTAAACCACACGTCTTTCAAATAAGATTTTAAAATTAAAAAATCAAAACCCAATTAATTTGGTCAGCTGCATTTTTAAACTCTGCGTGAGTCATCGTGGTAGTTATTAACACCTGAGAGATGGTTTGTATCGAACGCGGAACGTTTCGTTCAGTGATGATTTTATTTTGAAACATTGCGTGTGAGGGTGTTAAATGTTGCTTATTTCACGGGTCATTGCCGTCCGTTTGATATATCTATGTAGCCCCCCCGGGGGCTATTCTTTGCGCAACACAACAGGAAACGAACAGAGAATATTATTATATACGTACAAGAAAAGCCGGACCCTCGTGTACGTGTAAATCCTGAAATAATTCTAGTACATTATGTGGCCAGTAAGCTTTGCGTCGTTGTCGAAATGGAAGAATGGGTTCAATTTTGACCTTTTTTCCTTTTTCAGTTCCGTACGCTAGCCTTATACCAGTGAAAACCCGCTATAAATCTATTGGTCTGCAAATCCCGACCACCACATACTCACAGTGTATTTATAACATACCATTGTATGCGTATCGGACCACAAGAAAACAAAGCGACTAAGCCATTACTTTTTTGGGCTACCGTGGAAATATCCCTGAGAAATACCGCCGACTACTGTCTCCTGCGTTACTACCCGTTCACATTTTTACGACTATGACTCGAAGATTTCCCAAACACATGACCTAAGATTTTGAGCTTTATGTTACAACGCGTCATTTTCTACAGCATTATTTGCTAAACGACATAAGAAATTTTCATTCTAAATTGTCTTTATACTGTTTTGTAGTTAATAATATTTTTTCAAACACAATAAACAATTATATTAGGTTAAGGAGAGGTGGTAATTTAACGAACGAGAAGAGATGGAAAATTCACTATTTCTTAAAATCAATCATACATAGCTATTGTTAAAACAAAAGTCTCTTTTATTACACATTTTTTCTCACTAGTGTGGTACGCGTACACATACGCGCACATTAATTTTAATCGTGGTAAAAAATTAATATTAAGCGTATCTCGGTGTAATTTTTAAACGTTACAATTTTAGGCATCAAGCATATTTTATGGTAAATTTTTCAACTTTCTCCCTTGAATATTCTATGGGTACCATTCTCTTCAAGGAACCCTTTATTTTATCTCTCTTTTGGTTACTCAAAAATTACTCGTAGTTCTACAGATTTAGTAAAATTAAAACACTTAAAAACTTATATTTAGTTTGAACCGAAACTTGTTATTGTAATAGTTATAATAATAAATTTATTTACGTAGATGATAAATTGTTTTTTAATATACTTTTTATTATTCTTTCCACACTAGTTGTACCTATTCCAATTATAAAGTAAAATGCTTTTTTACAAATACATTTTTCTAATGAATCAATATGAACATTGTAAAAACAAGAATTTGTTTTAGATTTAATTTAATTCACGGTCTACGCCTAGTCAGTTAATTTTAGTAATTTTATTAAATTTGCTAAAAACATGTCCTATTTTTCTGTATTGCCAATTTTATTAAATGAGTCATAGTTAAGTCAATTTATCATAGTTTTTCTCTATTTTTGACTTTTATAAAACATTGTATTTTTTTCATTTACAGTAAATACCTGACACATTAAGCAAAACGTGTTGACCGCGTAATTCAAGTATATTATTGCGTCTCTATTTATGTGGATGACACACTTTTTCTTACCTTGAAAACTCATCTACATTTCAATCTTCGTCGTTATTTATATATATTGTATTACGAGTCAATATCAAATGATAATACATTGTTAGTTGATGTTGATTCCTTGTTACAAACATTTTCAAAGTCCGAAATGTCTTCAATTTCTGAAACTACTGGATCAGTGATCCAGTATTTTCATAATAATTGAACCACTCCACTTAAATGACTCATGACTAAAATGACTGTTTACTAGATTAATTTAGACTAAAATACCCTATAATTAATAGCTAAAATTTAATAGTTATTATAAAAGAATATTGCATTTTACAGTGAATATTTTACATAGAAAATGTTTACAATGTTATCATTATTTGGTGCAACAAAATATCAAGATACCCGTACATGTCTTGTTGTCGCACCAAATGAAAAACTAGACATATCCAATTACATTGTAATGAACGGATACGTTCATTGTATAAATTCATTCATTTGGTTAGTTCACCAATCAAAGTGAAATATTTTTCTTAATAACATTTGTTGAAAAAACGGATTTTACTAAAATATGAAAATGTTATCCGGCCTCTTATATTTGGTTAGTTACATATAAGAATGGGTGAAAATGTTTCGTTTTTTGTATTTCCTGAAGGCTAGCCAAAAGTAATTATGTGTCATATCTCATATATAATATTAATTTCTTCAAACCGTTTGATCATATACATTTTTGACTAAATGAAATATTGTTACAAATCAATAACTAGTACGTGATAATTATTTTAAATTAAAAACAGATATGTTTTAGTGCTATAAACAAACATGGTCAACTATCTATAGTTTTGAAATTTAAAACGTCTGTTAAAAAATAAAGAAAATTCAATTTTCTAACAGTAAATTCAGAAAAAAGTGGACTTTACTATTAGATATTTTATTAAGTTTCGATTTTTTAGTGTTTAAATAAGTAATTATATCAAAAGGACTATATCACCAGACTTTTGATAATGTTCAAATTTTTTTTAATACAGCTAATTAAATTATAATTTCCGATAAAATAAATAAAATTTTAAAATGTCACTGTCTACGTGTTAATTGTTCACGGACCTTGATTAACTAATAAGAATATCTTAAAAATGTTCTTATGCAATATAATTCACGATGTTGCATATTAACAGCGGAGAGGAGAGCACAGATACAAAATGAGGAAAAAACCAATACTTCCAGATTCCATTTGTCATCCTGTTGGCCTCGCGGTGGCTCATAATTATGTACAAGGGGAACAGATATTTTTACGACCCGTGAAAAGACTTGGCGGCGCTCGCAGTGATTGAAGTCTGCGCTGATGGTGTGAACGCGGGCCGGAGACGATTGCGGCGGTGGAGGGTGAAGTTTATTGGTTTATGAATTTTGTATTATGTTCCCTTGCTTTGCACACACGAATCCAACAAGTCGCTTGGATGTATGGTAGCGATGAGAAGAGAGTGGAGGGCGGAGAAGAGTGTGTTTATAAGGTTTACGGTCGTCGCCGACAAACAAACGAACAAACGGTATGATTTCACCATTAGCGGATTAATGGGCATGAATACACACACCGTGGTCGGGTGCAGCGATTTATTACATATCACGCCAACTTCTCCTACCCCCGACGTCAACACCCTACAGGAGAGGGCGAGTAAATTGAACGCTAAATTACCTAAGCGCCCCAGGAGGGGCGAACAACCTTCGTCGCGTTTGTGGCAACCGTGTAAATATGTCGTCGGGGCTTTTGGGGATTTTATAAAAATTACTGCCGTAGACGTTCACATAAAGTCGGCTAATACGATTTTTCGACAGCATCAAGCTCGAATAAAAATATAGTTGTTTTTCAAGCCTACACAAGATAAAACGCTATACGCTTTAAAATAATGATTTTTCTACTTCAACGTTTACAAGATATTTTAAATTTTACCTAGACCAAAATATAAAATAAACACATTTTATTAATAATTTCCTCAAAAATGCTAAATTTTTTATCGTTACAATAAAAAGCCTTATTAACTGCTTCATTGTTATCAAAATATTTTTGATTCTGTTTTCATTTCAAAATTATAACTATTTTAATAAGTGCATTATTTAGAATACACGCGCTAATCCTCATTGCTTGCAAAGATAATGAGCTGTTAAGAAATAATAATTTTAATTTAACACATATGCCCATTTCATCGTTAGATTATGACAATTTGTATGTTAAACGTATTTCGATGTTACACACATGTACCGCTCAACCGAAGAAGGGTGAAAAAAAAATGAACTTCCCTATCGTCGGAAGACATGAATAAATTGGTTTTCATTCAGTAATCCCCAGGTCAGTGGAATTATGGGATTATTAGGTACCACCCCACTGTTTTTATTACTTTTCGTGATCCCACAAACGAATATGAGGGTGCATTTATATGTTTAATATTTTTTATTGTTATTGTTATAGTAAGAAATCATGACTTTTTAGAACACAAATATTGTAACACTGATATCGAAATTCAGTCTTAAAAATATTACGCAACAAATATTTATTTGACTTCCGAAGAAAACGATATTTTTCTTAACAAACATATTCAAATGGAACTTAGCCACAAAATATCTTAAAACTGTTTCAGGTCTGGTTCCAAAATAGACGAGCAAAATGGAAAAAGCGAAAGAAATCTACAAATGTTTTTAGAACGCCCGGGGCGTTGTTGCCCTCGCATGGATTACCTCCCTTTGGTACCATGGGTGATGGCCTATGTCCAACCTCTATGTTTAGCTCTACTGACACAAGGTGGGGGGTAACAGGCATGACAACAGGTATGTAAAAAACGATAATGCGAACTTAACATTTAAGTTAAAGCATGATTTAAATCAAAATTACCCGACATTATTTTTTTCTCAAACATGATACATGATTCGGCTTTTCAATGCATAATACTTAGGTAGTAATGTCAATTTAAATATTATTACAAAGTATAAAACTATTAAAAATGCTTTAACCCATATAATTATTAATAATTATTAATTATTAAATAATTATTAATAATAATATAGTTTTTTATTGTAAAATTATATAATAAAATGATCCATTTTATTAGGGCTCAGTCAGTTAACAAGCGGTGCGGTTACCATGAGTGGATATAGCCATCAAAACTCATCGCTCAGTTCAACGCCAATCACTACGATGGCCACAAACACTCACAATATGTATCAAGCTCATTATGGTCTTAATTCATTAGGTAACCAAAATATTAAAAAAATATATATGTATTCATTAAAAAAAGTGTTGTATTGGTATATATCAATTATCAAATTGTAACTTTTTACATCAAATCCAACCTTTGTTTGGTTTTAAGTGTTAAATGTTAAGTATTTTACTCTTGTTGAAAACATTAAAAATTCATTTGTCAATTGAGTCATCATTTTGCAACTGATCGACTCAATTGATGATACAAACTATATAATTTCCTACAGTAAATATTTTCAACAAAATTTCTAAGTAACTTAAAAATGACAACACTTAAATTGACCGTCTTTACTCAAAACCCAAAAGTTAGATTTGTGTAAATAACAGCTTCAAAATTACATATGATGAAATAACACAAGAATTTCTTCGATTTGTAAGACTCTAAAGATAGTGTTATTAAGCTATTATTTAGTCAAATATACTACGCAAGGTGGGCTGAGTATATAATAAAACACGTTTTCATCATCATTTTACACATATTCTTGCACTTGACCACCGCTGACTATGTGAAGTATTGACAAGAATATTTTAACACTTCTATGTTAAACAATAAAAAATTATAATAAATAACGCAACATTCTCTTTTCAACTCAAATTATGCGTGGGGGTTTTTATTTGCTTAAAAAGCCCAACAAGTAATGGATATTTAGACTGATTGTCCAGAGAATATTCACTATCAGAACTGTGTTAAGAAAGTTATATTACAAGAAATAAATTTTGTCGATTTTGTCTATTCCTTGTGCTGGACTATGTTTATGAGATTTTATACTAAAAAAGCTAAAAGCTCCCTTAAAGTAATATTTTTTATTTATATAAAATCATTGAATCCTATTAATTTTTTGTTATTCTTTAATATTTAATTTAAATTAAAATTCAACTATTAAGTTTAAAATTTAAATAGAAGAAAATAAACTGGAAACCAACTTCAAATGATAAATTTATTTCTTTGTTTTCATTCCATCCTAAAAGTACCATAAATTAAAAGAATGTTTATTCGGTGAAAAAATTAAGAAAACATAATATAAGCTCAAGGATAGTAAAGCGTATGATAAAAAATATTAGAAAACTGTTCTCCTCGAGTAAAAGGTTTCTGCTTGATAACCAATATAAGAATATTTCATGGTAAGATTCTGAATATTGTTTTAAAAATCTTATTCAAACGAAATAAAGTCATAAATGAGTTTTAAAAGTGTTGATCAAACAGTTTACTAAGTGAATATAACCCCTCTAAAATTTTCTAATTAAAACTTTTTATCACATTTAATTAACCATCAACTTCTTCTTCTTCTTCGATAGTTTGATTTCGAACGTAATGATCGTTTAAGAAGTATATAATTACTAATATTTCTCTGACTTTCCCGGTTTTCTATGTGTTCTCAACTGAAATCATCGATTTGGTCAATAAAAGAATAAGAAAACGTCCTCTATTCCTTTTGCCTTGTACTTTTTTTTGTATAATTATTTTTGCTAAGCATAAAAAACCATTTAATTAACTACAAAAAAGTAAAATGTTAAATCAAAACATGGACTTATTTAAAAAGGTATCTAGATTTTTAAAATTCAAAATAAACTAGATCTCACAACTCTTATAACTTTCGATCCAATCAATTTGTGGAATTTTTTTTTTTTTTAATAATTATTACCTTCTTAGACTATGTTTAGAGTATATGTTTTTTATTATTTATCAATAATAAAAAGAAAAAAATTTATTATTTAAACTAGACATTTTTTAGTGCTTTTATTACAGATAAAATTAATGAATCAATAAAAATTTTAAGACGAGTGCTTATAGATTTACAAGCATTTTAGTACATAGAGTAGGTTTGTACCTCAGCTGCGGTATGCGTTATAAAAATAGTCAAGTACAAGTTGAACCCGCCCTAACTACATACCAACTATATATATATTAAAATGCTTGTAATTCAATAAATACTTGCTATAAAATTGTCCCATCAAATTTTTTGTAAGAAAAAGGATAAAAAATAGCTATTTTTGAAATTATAATAACAAATTTTTATTATTTTTTAATTGTGTTAAATATTAAAAAGATATGCTTTAAACATAGTTTATGAAGGTACAGTAATTATATAAAAAAAAAAAATTTCAACAAAATAATTATTGGATCAAAAATCATACTGTGTTAGTCAGATCTAGTTTAACTGTATCCTCATAAATGAGTTTTAGTCTCATTAGTAAAATAATTATAAGATTCTATTTATAGGTGATTCGGAAAAGTGGCGATTTTCTAAAGAACAGTTTAAACCTTTTACGACAGATTCTCAATTCTTTTAAATACCGAACAAGTAAGTCAAAAAATAATCTTTTGATAGTTTTTATACTTAAAGCCTATTGTACTTCTACTTATTAAAAATATATTCATTTTTCTATTGATAAAGCGTCTATTTTTATATTGTTACTAAAATGTATAATAATTAATACTTTTTCTCTCGAAAATAAATTGCAGAAATGTACCGTTTATCTTCTGAATCCTTCAAGTCTTTACTTAATATTACCCAACATTTGTGTAATTTTATTTACTTGTAAATTATTTTTAGATTCATTCTCAAAACTTTATTAGGTTGATTCACCGTCCATGGATGAAAGGAATGACTAACGTGCTTATTCTCAAATTCAAGAATCTTTGATTGTTGACAATTTCTTAACTTTTACTGTTAATTTTAATTAATTTTTTTAATTTGTATAGAACAAAACCATAATGTTGTATTATTTTTACTTGGGTTATTTAAAGGGTCTAGTCTGGGAAAATAATTATTAATTGTATAGTAATCGAATACTATTTTAAAAATATTATAGGCATTATACTAGAAATAACTCAAATTTTGAAGTTCATTTTAAATAATAGCTTTCAACAGAATTGTACTTTAAGGTGTGTTTATCCACTATAAACTATGTTTAATTCCAGTTATAAAAATCAATTTAGAATAAACTAATGGGTTTAAAATACAAAACAATTCATAATCTAAGTACTTCAATATTGTGTATTATTGATCATAATATCTGAAGTTTAATTCATATTTATGAGGAAATTCTTCAACAAAATTTAAAAATAAACTTATTGAATGCTAACATGATAGATATTAAATAAAATCAGAGTAATTGGATGAAAATTGTATAAAATACAGCGGAATTAACAAAGTACACTTCGTTAGTTCTAGTACACTAAAATATACCATAGGCGCAATTTTCAAAAATATTGTTGGAAAGACTATTATATATTATTTTTCCTTTCCTATTTTTTTTATAAAATTATATATAATTTTTTTTAATTTTTAAATTTTCAAGCTCTGTAAATTTGAGTCTATGAATGCCACAAAAAAATTAAGTTTTATTAATATTTAAGACATTTTTTTTCAGTTAAATTACTACATAATTATTTTATGTGATAAAATGAGTAATGTATATAAATTGTACATAATTTTGTGCTACATTAAATGTAATATACTTTAATATATGTTTATATTATCATCATTTAGTTTTATTAATTTGTATTGTATATGTTTAGTAAATAAGTAAATATTCATTAAAAATTTAGTTTTTATTTAAATCCAATTTAAGTTTGAGGCAATGACAATAGAGTTCTCATGTCAGATTTTTTTTGAAAAGAAAAAACCGTTTTATTAAAGGTGTAATTGTATGGATATTGCCTTATAGTTTTCTCTGTTATTCTTCTTTAATACAGAAATTTGATTTAATTGTTCATCAAGGTGACAAAAAAAAACGAAAAATTGATTTTTCTAGTATTAGGACCTTAACCATGTCAACGCTTCATTAGTTGTTCATAGTTTGAATAAAAAATTTGTACTTAAGCAATTGTATTAAAATTATTCGATTTAACAAATTTCCTTATAATTTGTTTTAATTAACACAAAACTTTTATTCAAAATGTTACCTATATCACCATAAATCATTTTACACTAGCTTCAAAGTACTTCATAATTTATTTATAAATTAAATATAAATTCAAGTAAAAAATTTGATCATCATAAAACTTTGTCAACAGAGGCTTGAATTTTGGGTTTTTGAAAGAAAAATATAAATAGGGTAAAATGGGATAATTTCAAATGCACGTTTTTAATAAATGCAATTTTTATTTTGAACAGACATATAATAATATAGCAACACATATAATATAGGACATATAGGACCAGAACCTCTGAATCTAAAATAAAATCTTCTAAATATTCTAAAAGAAAATATTAATTTACATTTACCCAACTGCAACCTACACAAAAAGTTTTAAAAAATTTTATTTTAAAATTTTTTATTTTTCTATTATAATAAAAAATTATGCATACTTTAATACTTAAAACAGCATATAAATAAAGCTATGTAAAGTATAAAATTACGATTATGGTGAATTGTTTCAAATACTTGTAAAATTTAACATTTATTGACAATTAAAATATTAATTTATTTAGGAAAACAAATTGTAACTTAAATTACAAAACATAAACTTAATATATACATATATACATACATAAACTTCACAATAGTATTCATATTCTAATTCCCAATTATTATTACTATTGTTTGATTATGAAGGCTTGAATTTCTTTTCTGGAGGTGGTCGCATAGTTGGAGACAATGAATTTATAGATGGGAATTCATGTTTTACATTAGTATCTGAAATATTTTCTTGTTTCACTTCTTTCTTAGTCTCTACTTTATTAACATCGTCTACAATAAGAAAAAAAGTATATTATTACATTTTGCTAAAAGTATATAACCCAGAACAAAACTTATGTTTAAAATGAAACAGCAGAGTAACTCTTTTTTAATAACAGAATCAAGCTTATTATTAAGATGCGCACAATGGACCAACAGGTCTGAGTGCATATTATGTCCAGCTCGATAATAGCTAAGGTTATATGTAAAAATTATTATAAACAAAAAAAAATTAGGGATTCTCATTTTTAAACTGAATTTACAGTAGTAGTAATTGTACTACTGAAACAGTAAGTAGTATTAGTAATTAATGATAAAAATATTGAATTTTTACTTGGTATGGCATTATTGTTGCTATTGGTAGATGCTGGTACAAGTGATTGAGGTAATGGTAAAGGAAATTTCCTTGTTAATTCAACCAGTAACATATCTACTCTAAGTCGTTGAAATTGAGAACTTGATTCTTCGCTGTCCCTCTTAGTAGGAACTTTAACTGGAGATGGAGGTGGAGCAGCAACTGCACCTGAATTTGTTTTTCGATTATCCCAGGAATAGCCTTTTGATGGATGAAACCTCGCTAAAGAATTTAACTCTTCAAATGCAGTTTCTAGGTGGTATGCTGATGACATCTTTATAGTAAATAATAATCAATTTAGTTGATTTTTCAAAACAACTACCAATCTCTAATAAGTTGTATTTTGATAAATATAAAAGCATACAATTTTAATAAACATAATATATTGAAATCAATAATCAATATTATGAGTAAATTAAACAAAATCATATGATTAATTCTATATTATTGTTTTATGCAATTTATTTTTATTTAACATTAATTAAATTTTAATTAACAAAAAAATCATATTTTTGTAAATTTCAAAAAAATTAGTAAATTACAATTAAAAATATTAAAATACAGCAAAATCATACAAAATTATGATAGAACATATTTATTTGTCTGATAAAATTGTATACATTTTAAATTGAATAGAAATGTTATCATTTAAAATTAATCTTACCATATGCGAGTTGATAAAAGTCAATAGATCGGGAGCTTGATACACTGTTCCAGCAATAATATAATAATCAGCAATTGGTGTTGACTGAGAAGGAGAATGTCTATGTTGTTTACGTACAACATATAAAATTGGTTCTTGTACATGAAGAAGACAATATTCCAAACCAACCATGTTGCTATTTTTAATTACAAAAAGAAAACTATTAAATCTCATGGTGTATAATAAATTTATTAATTAAGCAATTATGTCCATTTTTAGCAGTAAAGTTCATATATTTCTCAATAGTTTGCAAAACTTGCATGTACAATAAATTAAAATACATTATAATAAAGTGTTATAATTTTATTACAGCTAAATTTGAATTATTGTCATTAATTTAATTGTTCAATGAAAACAAATATTATTCAATAAAATTAAAAAAAACAAAAACAAAAAAAAATTTTTATAATATTGACGATTGAGGATTTTTCTAAGCTACTAAATTAAAATACAGAATCGTTTCACTATTGTTTATATTATTCTGGTAAACAAATTAAAATATTTCTTATTGATATATTTTAATAATTCTCAAAATTTTAAATAAAACTAAAGATTTTTATAATAAAAATAATATATAAAAAAAGTGTTATAAAATAAATTTTTATAAAAAAAATTGAGTTACAATAATAAAAAACTAAGAATGCATATATTTTTTGTATTTTGCTTTAAAAAAAAAGAAATACTATATTAATTTGGAGATTTGGTTATCAAAGTAAATCTTTATTTATGATATAACATTGATAATTTTTCTAACTACATTAAATTACCTTAAATTATCCATACTGAGCCGTTGCATTTTGATTGCTTCATTATTACAACTGCGATCATAAAAAGGATTACTACGTTCTGAAAAGTAGTCCAAAACATTGTTGGAATTAAGAATAGGGATCCAATTACTATCATGCCAAGATACACCCAAAGGATTATCTATAAAAAGTATAAAAACAAGAAAAAATATTAAACAATGTAAAATGTCAAAAAAATACCTGGTAAACCAACTCCTCTTCCTGATAACATAATAGAAATTCAATTCAAACACTTAATTAATTTTGTATATTATGTTGCACTTTTTCTAAATTTCATTTGCTTACATTTAAAAAAAAATCATATAACAATTTAATGGTATAATTTCTCAGTTAATATTATAAACAGTAATCAAAAAACAATCTAGAGTTGTTTTAAAGTTTTTTTACACTTCACACTATATTATCAATAGAAAAATATTAAGTTATAAACATGAAGCCCAAATTCCTTAAATTATTTTATGATAAAATCACTTAACCATGATGTACAATATTTACTAAATTGCAACACTGTATCCTAAAGAGATAATACTGTTTAAAGGTTAGGATATTTTAATGACTCAATGATATCAGAAAACAACAATCATTCAAGAATAGTTATTGTTCACTGATCGGTAGTTCATAAAAAAGTTTATAGCTTAGCAATATATTTCTTAACTTTTGAAACAATTAAGAAAAACAATGACTGAAGAAGGAACTAGTAAAACTTTAGAGGATCCTTCAGTTTGGGAAGATAGCGTAAATATTTCATTATTTTATTCTTTTAAACTTGGGTATTTGACTTTTATTGTTTTATTTCAACCCTAATATTTGAATAGGATCGAGTTGATGAAGAAATATTACTTATGTCAAATGAAGAAATCACGTCTCGTACACGATTGCTTGACAATGATATAAAAGTTATGAAGAGTGATGTGATGCGTATTTCACATGAATTGCAGTCGCAGACTGATAAAATTAAAGAAAACACTGAAAAAATCAAAGTTAATAAAACATTACCTTATTTAGTATCTAATGTTATTGAGCTATTAGATGTTGATCCACAAGATACAGAGGAAGATGGTGCTGTTGTTGATCTTGATAGTCAAAGAAAAGGAAAATGTGCTGTTATCAAGACATCTACCCGACAAGTGATTATCTTAAAGTCCCACTTTAAAAGTTTTACTGTTATAATTAAAATAAACTAGATCTAAGAGGTCTACTTAAAAAATTATTATATCATTAATTTTATTAGAATCTGTTTAACAACTAATCCATTAAAAAATTGATAGTCCAATTTCATTTTATTTATTTTGTAGTATTAAAATAACATTTTGTTTCTAGACTTACTTCTTGCCTGTAATTGGTTTAGTTGATCCAGAACAGCTTAAACCTGGTGATTTGGTAGGAGTTAATAAAGATTCTTATCTTGTGTTAGAAACATTACCAGCTGAGTATGATGCACGTGTTAAAGCAATGGAAGTTGATGAAAGACCAACAGAACAATATGTAGATATAGGAGGTCTAGACAAACAAATTCAAGAAGTAATTAAATTTTAAAGCTTAAATTTAAATATTCATATTTTAATCATTATTTATTAAGTTTATTTTTATTTTTTAATATCAAATAATAATTTGTAGCTTATTGAAGCTGTTGTACTACCGATGACACATAAGGAAAAATTCCTCAATCTAGGAATTCAACCTCCAAAAGGTGTTCTTTTATATGGCCCACCGGGTACAGGAAAAACTCTTTTAGCTCGAGCATGTGCTGCCCAGACTAAATCAACTTTCTTAAAGCTTGCTGGTCCTCAGCTAGTGCAAATGTTCATTGGTGATGGAGCAAAACTTGTGCGAGATGCATTTGCCTTAGCCAAAGAAAAAGCTCCTGCAGTCATATTTATTGATGAATTGGATGCTATTGGTACCAAACGTTTTGATTCTGAAAAAGCTGGAGATCGAGAAGTTCAAAGAACTATGTTGGAGTTACTAAATCAGTTAGATGGTTTCAGTTCTACTGCAGATATTAAAGTTATTGCAGCTACCAACAGAGTTGATATTTTAGATCCTGCATTACTAAGATCAGGAAGATTGGATAGAAAAATTGAATTCCCACATCCCAATCAAGAAGCACGTGCTAGAATAATGCAAATTCATTCAAGAAAAATGAATAAATTTGATGTGAATTTTGAAGAATTATCCAGATCAACTGATGATTTTAATGGAGCACAATGCAAAGCAGTTTGTGTTGAAGCAGTAAGTTAATTAAAGATATTATATTAAAAAAGCTTTTTATAAATTCAATATTATATCATTTGTAGGGTATGATCGCTTTAAGAAGAGGTGCTTCTACTGTTACCCACGAAGACTTTATGGATGCTATCATGGAAGTTCAAGCAAAAAAGAAGTCAAACTTGAATTATTATGCATGAAAATTACACAATTTAATTTGTCTTCATGTATTTTATGTATACTTTTTCAAATTCTGAAAGCTACCTAATGTTTTAAATGTTTATAATTTTTTTTTAGTAATTAATGAAATAAAACTGTCTCATTAAATGAATAATTTAGATAATTTATTATTTTGTTAAGTACCTATCATCATTATAATCAATGAATATTACATAATTAGCTATTTTAAACCAATTATAAATAGATATTTCATATTCTGAAAATACTGTAATCATTGATATAACATTTAAACTTAAAAAAATTTTCATTAAATATTTATCAAACCTAACTAGAAATGTTTTTTATTGTATAAAAGAACATGAATCAATTTATAAGGTGTATAAACTCAGTATTTAAAATTAATTTATCCTATGCAAGATAAACTATAGTTTTCTTATGTTTTATGATGCACAAAAAATTGATGTTTGTTTTTAACCTATTGTTATATGGAATTGTTTAGTGTATTAATTTTTTTAGATGAATAGCTAAGTTTTAAGAGTGTAGTGGTCACACTAGTTGTTGACAAAACTCTAGTGTTAAGCCGTGCCTACCACCGTAAGTGAACGGATGGGAGATCATGTGTGCACTATTACGGTGGCGAAAAAGCACCATGTTTCCAGTGCAGAAGGCAATGAGGACCATTGCATTTAATTTCCCAGGATATAAAGCTATGACTAGGCTTATCATTTAGAAAAAGAGAGAGAGCTAAGTTTTACAACTCATTCATTTTACATGCATATAAACTTTACATTTTAGGTTTAAATTTAAAGATAACCTAATATTAATAATATCAAAAATTCATTAATTTTATATAGTGTTAATATTTAGTTTCGATAATATTTTTTAATTAACTATGATTCTTTATTTTAATAAAGATTTTTCATTGAAAAAAAAAATGAACTTAAAAACAAGTAAATGTATAGTTTAAACCAATCCATGCTATATTTAGAAGTATTAAAAATTTTTCATTTACCTTTCTTATACCATTAAATTTTTTGAAGACATTTTAGAAATAGTCTATATCTTAATAAAATCTTTGTAATAGAAAAAATGTACTTGGGGTAAGATAGAGCCACTAGCTAAATTATTTTTATTTACTTGAAAAATAATAGTATATAATTAAAGATTTGATTTTAGAATGTACTTCAATAAAAAAAGATTTACTCAATAATCAAAATTACTTTTCAACACCCTACTGAGCCTATTTACAAAGTCTTCTTTCATATAAATAAATGACGTTGAACTAAATTAATAAATTTACAAACATTTCTAAGTTTAATCGAATAACTTATCTATAAGAAAAATGCCCAATGAATTTTAAGCGTAATATTAGAAATTTAATTGTATCATCGTTGAAACGGTTCATTTTATTTATTTTATTCTCAGTTTTAATAAATAATTTATTTCAGGTAAAATTGTAATATACGAAATTTTGAAACTAATCATAATAAAATAATACAATTTTCTGTGACCTAATTTTTATGAATGTTGGTACTACTATAGAAATTAAGTAGGTAATGATTTCTCTAAGTTTATGTATGTTATCATTACGTGAAAATGTGGTGCTGCATACATCTTATCAAATTTCTCGCAACTATTTACAGTATTTAGTGAATTTGATTATTAAAATTTCAAGCAAACTCATTGTAAAATTAATTTTGTTATAGACTTTTTTCTTAATTATATTTTTTTTTTGTTATGTAGCAAAACGTTTCATAACATATGAATACATGAAGAGTTAAATAGATATATTCTTGTATATCAATCATTAAATTTTAAAAGATTATTGATTCGAAATCTTTAAAAAAGATTTAGTTGTACTAACTATTACTGACGAATACTTTCTTTCATACAAGGCGTAATTAAAATGGTAAGTAATTAAACAAATAATCTTACTTAATATTTTAGAATGGTAAAAGATTTAAATTTCAAATTTTAACATTAAAATTTATAAAATATCAATTGTTCTTTTTTATTTATCTAGTCGATTGCGGAGTTTTTAGATGGCATGCCATCTTTTGATGCTAAAAATTTTTCAAGATTTCATTCTGATAATGGTCGAAGCAAGCGGGCACCAGTTTATATATCAACAAAAGATACACCATCAGACCAAAGTATGATTTAATTATTAAAGCCTACTAATTACATAAAGTTTTATTTATTGAAGTTTTAAGCCTTTTAGTGTTTTATTTTAATGTTTTTTATTAATAATTTAAGTAACTATATAAATGAAATTTATAGCTAATTATTATACATTTATATTAAATTTTTTTATAATGTTAAACATTCATAGTTAAATTGTTTTATTTTATAATTTAGCCTACTTTATTCATTTCTATATTAGAATACACTGAAAAAATAATTAAAATATGGATGTTTTTTGAAAATAATTCAATGCTATTACAAAAAATATATATATATATATGTAAAAAATACATTCCATCTTTTATTTTTAACATGCAACATTAACTTTTTATAGGTTTTCATTAGTAAAATATATTTATGTGTAATATAGTTCAAACAATTGTTAAAAAACTACTCATTTTCTTATAAATATACAATATATGTTTTGAGTATTTTAGGTTATTTATTATTTTTCTCAATATTGAAGTTTATCCATGTAATATAAAAAGTTTAGTTTTACAATAAAATTTTAAAATATATTATAGATCAATTAAAAGAATTTCTTTAACTAATTTGCTGTCAACTTATGGGTTAATATTTCATTATTATAATTGATGAACCTAAGTAAATGGAATTATAATAATTATTTATATTTTAGCTTAAAATGTTGAATGAAGAAGAGGAGAGGAAGACCAAAAAAGAGTTGGAGAGATATTATTAAATGCGGTATGAGGATTTCTGATGTGTGAGATGATGATGTAAGCGATTGTGTCAAGTGGAAATTTAGGATAAGAGTGGTAGACCCAAAGTAAATAGGATAAAGGCAAAGAAAAAGAAAATTTATATTTTAGTTTAGAGAAACCAAAAAAAAAAAAATTGCACAATTTCTTAATATTATTATTATTATTATAGTTATTGTTACTGACAAATCCAATTTACTGCTTCGGTACTTGCATAACCAATGGGATAAGAAGGTATATTATTTAAATTAGAATAATTATTACATTTTTTTTTTAAATACATTTTTTTAAATTTAAGCATGGAGGAAAAAAGAGAGATTTAACAGAAGCTATTGAAGAAACTCCTGGTTCATCTAGAAAACGTCCAAGAGTTGAGTTGCCAGTAATGTAAATTTATTTTTTATTGTTGTGATTCTCTTGAAAAAATGTAAACATTTATTTGCATTATCGTTATTTAAGAATAAAAAAACAAAAAATGTAAACAAATTAAACATTTATACCTCACAATTTATAATATGTATCAAAGAAATTTCTTTCTATTGGTTTATTGTTTAAATTTTATTCTAACATCCTACTGATTTATGATGTATACAATAAATTTTAGGAACTGATGTTTCTTTTATATAAATAACGATTATTCACAATATATTAAAAAATAGCTATTGTATATTAATTTTTAAGTAAGCTTCACTTTTTTGTATGATTAATTAGTTATTCATTCTGATTATATGACTAACCATATTTTTTTTGTTTACTTAATTTTAAGTGTAAAATTTAATGGTAAATTGTAACTTTAAAAATATTTTCATAACTAGCTATTAATATTATTTAAAAATAAATTTACCTGATTATTTATGTTCTAGAAAGTCTTACTTACTTGTACAATATTTAAATATCATCAATTAAAATTATTGCACATCTTAGTATGAAATTCAGAGTGAATCCTTAACTATACTTCACAGAATACCTATAAAAATATTAGAACTAATCATTAATTATTGTTTTTTTAACAATAATAAATCTATTAAAAAGTTATCCTCATTTTTATATCTAGACGGGAGAAAGAATATGGTTGGTGATTGTTACATATGTGTCTCACCTTCAGTCATTATATTAAATTGTTAATAGTTTCTGAGATAGTAGTTCAAAAGTTATTACTGACCAGTCTTTTTTTTAATTAGATCAACTATTAAATAAGTTAGTTTATTATGTTGCCATTTGAAAATATAAAATTGACACCCTTATACATTATAAGGGATAATTCTAAAAAGTAATTAATTGCTGATAAGTCAAGTATTTATATTGTGAGTAATCGAGTGGCTTAAATATAATATATAAATATTGTAATATTATATTACCATTGGTAATGGTTAATGAATCAACTTAATCTCATGCTTAACAAATTACCAGTTTTTTTTTTTTATATAAAATAATAGTTTTTAAGCCTCAGAAATATTCAATTTTGATGATCCTGTAAGAAATATCCTGTTGTAATAAGTATTAGGCAAATTAGTTAGGGTTTTCCCCGAGTCATTTTACTCTAGAATATACTATCTTCCTACATTTTTCACACAGCTTCATTTAGAACCGCTAAAATATTTTTTCTAGTTGCTCCTATGCATTATTCTGATTATAATGGTATATGTCAATTTGTGAGGAACCCCATTTCTTAAAGGTATTCCACCACACTTGTATATATTTAAAAAATATAAGTTAATAATTTTTTAATGTAATGGATTCTAAAAGAAAATAATTATGACAACCAAACTAAATATGCAGTTTTTGTATTAAAAGTTTTAGTGACTAATTTTTTTTTGTATTGAACTTCCTATTCTAGTTTTTATCGTTAAAATAGAACAGTAAATTTTCATTACTGTTTTTTTTTTTGACAATACTTCAATAGAATTGTTTCTTTATAAAAACTACAAAAAAATTGCAATCAAATGTTGATAATTATACTTTTTATTAAAATTAAGTTTGTTTATCGTTATCCAACTACACATTTTTATATGACGTGAGGTTCAAGTTGCGTTCAGAGATGTCTCCGTAGGTTGACCAGTCTGACTGCGAAAGATAGCCCCACCCACTTTAATTTTTTAAGAATACTATTATGTATATGTAGGTATGTTTCGTGTTTACTTCATTGAATTATTCTTCCAGTCTGCAGTGCAGTTGTACCCGTAGGTAATGCTAAAAACAGATGCCGTAGATCGTCAGTACTAAACGAAAGACGGGTGTGTGAGGTACACGTGTGACTGATTGACTTTCAAGTCACGTTGTTCGTCGGTTTTAAATATTATTTCTTTTACATTCGTTATTGTTTGTTTTTTAATTTTAAACTAACTTAAACATGGATGCATACGATAATGTAATAGCTAATAGTTATCATATTTGTTTATTTAATTATTGTTATTATCTTACTGATCGTTGTCAGATCTCACAGCCACTACTGTGTTACTCAAAACGTAAATACTAATTGAAGTAAGTAATACATCATCCACAAAATAAATTTTCGGAGTTAGATATTGCGGAACCAATATGAAAGTTTTCACGGATCCTTTTAAATTTTTTTAGTAAAAAAGATACTTTTTTTATTAATTTATGCATGCTAGACTTTAAATAGGTTCTAGTTAAGTACATTATTAACTACTCTTCCGTCGGCCCAAATCATTAATTATTCTTAGACAATTTAATGTCCGCCTCAATTTCAGATCTAAATATAAATTTACCAATAATTTATTTTTATACTAATAATTTGCTTACAAAGGCTTATGTACCTGAGCTTCAATAATAATAATAATAATAATACCTTTTAGAAATTAATGGAATAAAAATTATTTTTAAAAATATTAGAAGTTATCGCTTAAATATGTTTATCAATCTTACCATTAAATCTAGCCAAAAATTAAAAGAGACGAGAGTATTTTGGTAATTGTAGTTATTTTCGGTTAATTATCAAACAAAAATCATTATAATTAACAAATTGACCTAGTAAATTAAAATTAATTTTATTAATATAATTATATTTAAAAAAAACATTAAATCAACAGAAGGGTTTCATATCTGAATCCTGTTTTGTTTGATTTTTATGTTGAACTTTTAGCTTCGGTGCAAAGCTGAGAAGATATTGTTTTTACTATGATGTGTGTTTTTTTTTTTGTGTCTGTTACCACTTTTTCTTAGCTCTCACCGAACGGATTTCTTTTAACGATACGTCAAAAGATCACAAATCGTATTTAGTCGAAGACATTACCCTCAAAAATTGAAAAAAATTCCCTCGTTACCCGTAAATGGGGGAAACCTCCAAAAAAATTACAAATTTAAAAATCGCTAATTTTCGAAATTTTTTCAATTTTTTTTACTAAAAACTGCCATAACTTTTTTAAAAATGGACATATCAGTATAATTTTTTTTTATAGATGCTTGATGTCTTTACCTATCATTTGGTATATTATTTTCATAAATTTAACCCTTTACCTGCCCACAGGGGGGGTTTAAAAAGACAACTTTTTCACAAAAAATTAACTTTTGAAAGAGTTCCGGAGGGTCTGACACTTATATATATATATTAAATTAAAGCTAATGTAATATACTTTATTATGGAAAAAAAAAATTGACCTCTGGACTTGTCTTCGTGGTGAAAATGGCTACCAAATGCTAGTTTTGTGTGAAAATTCTCGATTTTATTTTTTACATTTTTAACTTTATAATGCTTTAACTTATTGAAAAGTGTATGGATCAATACAATTTTTTTTGAGAAATAATATTTATATCCCTATTTCATTCGACATACTTTATCTTAATCAGGATATAAATAAGGAAATATTTTTTTTAATTATTTTGTATATTATTATTAATTCTGATTGAACATTCAGAGAAAAATTTTCATGGCATCTCCTACCATACATTTTTTAGTAACTTATTCGCATATGCTTTTTTATACAGAATCATTTTTTAAAAAAAGATGAATATTATGACTAGATATAATAGGGTTGCTGTTCCAAAAAATTTCGTTTTTCTTAGTACCCTCGCCCTAAGATCCACCCCGAGCTATTGGAAGTCCCCTCTTTAGTCTAATGCCTACGTTAATGTTTTGAATCCTTAAAAAATCAAATGTTATTGCCTTATTATAATCTACTTATGTCTGAATGTTCAACCTAAATAATCGATAGAATGCAAGGGTAAACAAAAGGGTCGGTCAGAGGGATAAGACTTTCTAGCAACAATAAAAAAATTGAATTTGTTTAGTTTTATACTTAAGAGGTTTAAAGAAATAAAAGGTTGGACATATTTATTTTATTTAGGTTTTTTAAGGTGTGAGTACATGTCTAATTATCTTAAGCACAACCTGATACAACAATGGTTGACGACTACGCTTTTATTATTTAAATAGAAAAATAAGCCTGTAATAAACTTTTGTTATTAAAAATAATAGATGGTAATTCGATAAAAAAAAATTTGTGGAAGGGGCTAAAAAACAATATAATTTGAATCAAATATTTTTCTTGTTTCATTCTAGACAACCTTTTTGTAGAATAATTTAATTATAACAGTAAAATACAAACATTATATATTTTTGCGATAAAGTCAAGATAAAATTATTAAACTAAAAAATATAAGTCATTACAAATTATTAAAGAAAATTGTTTATTAAAATAATAACACATATACGATATGTATATTTTAATTTAATTTATATACCGAGATTATCTGACCATAAGCTGTTTTTGAATGTTTATGTGTGCACATGTGTAAACGATTGTGATTGTGTTACTAGTACGCTAAGAGATAAAAAGCCGAATCTTGAACGAAGGTTTAGTTTATGAACCAAGGATATACCTACATAGTAAAGTGGGCTCGCCATTCTAGTTATATAGCCCACGCATATCATAAGATAGAGAAACTTACGCATACATAATAATATTATTAAAAGAATAATAAGCATGCCTACTACAAATCCAAACAGACAAGAGTTGGCTAATATTCATATGACGCCCACCTAAGAAGTAAAAAATCTATAAATGATTGTAAATTAAATTAAACGCCATCATGTTGTTAATACAGAAATTTATTATTTATATATATTTATAGGCATAACTAGCGAATATAAATACAAATAAGTGATTCTGATTAAATAACCTCTTCAGAGATTAAATATTTAAAACAATTTTTTTAACAAAACTCTCTTTCACGTTAGCGCAAATTGTGAACTTATCTTTAGGAGTTAAAGTTTTCTACTCGATTTCATATGTCTAGATAATTGATCTGACGTAGAGCTTTTTTAACGCATAGTTTTATTTTTTGAGGGAGTTACAAATATTTTTATGGGAATTCTCACAGCTCCAATGTTAACTACGCTAATGACCCTCTAGCCAGAGAGAATTCTTAAATTAGTGACATAATTTTTACTTAATATTGTAATTATTTTTAATGGCTGTATAGTTAATAGTTCAACATAGTTGCAGTATAATACTAAAAATTCATCTTTGAATTTCGAATGGGTTATCCCTAATTTTTTAAAAATATTTCAACTCAAATATGACTTTTTATTTGATTTTTAATGGTAAAATATTTACATTTATTTAAAGTAGATGATCTTAGGCGTAAATTAGGAGGGGCTTTCAGAAATTTCAAAAACATTTACCATGAAACCGACCAAAAATTTGATTGAAATTGCACCTTTGTAAATTATGCATGTTGAGTGTCATTTTCTTTTATATAAACTGGATGTAATAAATAACCTTCGTTCTCTATAGTTCATTAAGGAATTTACAAACGTTTTCGTTTTCTCTGTGAATGTTTTAAATGTAATATTACAAATTCCGGATGTTGGGGAAGTGCACACTGCCTACGCTTAACGCGCATTTCTCTATATGGCGTTGCGCGACGTCTGCTACGTGAGACGGAGGCGAAAATATAGTTAGGCTAAGGTACTTGGTGTTATTTTATAAGTCGATGAAGTATACTGGTATCTCATAAATTAAACGTTGACAACAATTATTTATTGGTAAATCACGGTTTCAGAACATATGGCCACTGTAGTAATATTAATTGTATAAAAGAATATGTCCAAATATAATTTTCATCATGTTATTCATAAAACTATCGATCAGAAAGCTTGTTTGTCAGAATGTATAATGTCACAATAAACACTTGTTTGTTGTATAGTGAATATTTTAACGCGTATTTCAAATAATTATTAACTTTCAGTAGTAATTAAATTAATGTGAAGCACGCTGTTAATATACTGATCGAACAGTTGTTCGATGTAGTTAATTTTTACTTATTTTAATAAAATTTTTAACATATTTTACATAAAAAATATTTCATTTTCATTTTCTGACAAATGATAACGTAATTTGAATTACTTCAATTAAGTTTATAGAATGTGTTTTTTATCTGAGTAGTATAGTAGTATTGAAATGGAAATAAGTAGGCATAACAATATACACTATTTAAACAATATATATCTCATTGACATGTTCCATAATCACAATATTTAGTAGATACCTTTTAATACATCACAAACTCTATGAATTATGCTAAACTATTCGTTCAATTACAAGGTCAACGAAAAAATCAGTGTACAATTATTATTATACTATAACAGAGTACATTAATCTTTGTAGTTTGTCAATCGCCGGATTGTATATTGTGATTTTCCACAAATTCGATGGGCTCGTTATGTTGTACAATGTCTACTTACCATTCTTTGTATTATAACAATAAAAAAAAAATATAATAATATTGTCGATGACACGAATTCAATGTATTTTAAGGGAATTTTTGAAACACTCCTAAAAAAATGGCGTATTTTAGATTAACTTTAGTCACGCTAAAGAGTGGCAGGAAAAGGATTCGAGTAGTTGCTTAGATTATTTTCGACTATACGAATTCTAAACTTTCTCAGAGAATACGATTAGAGAAAACAAAATTTTAACTTTTCTAGTTAAGCTTTTTATTGCCGAGCGACTTATTTTCTGGTTTATTCGAACGCGGCTTGATGTAAAATATCTTTTTTTTTGTAGAATTATGATTTTATGAGACTCGTTGCACTCTAAGCCTAGAATTTTCTTATTACCGTCGTCATAGTTATAAAATCGATGCCATTGTTGTGTGTGCTCGTTTGGCCGTTACAGTCATAAAAGGATCCAATGTCCAGCAGCAGAACTAACTTAAGGAATTAGATAGATAGACGTACGTGCGTGTAAGCGAGGACAACCGAATGATCGACACTCGAGTCACATTTCCCGACGAACCGGTCCGTTCCCATTGTATTGTAATTTCCGTCGTTTTATACACACACGAATATAATAATATATACAAACGTTGTTTACGTTTGTCATTATTGCCGCGTTGAGGTATACGGTAAGAACCTTATAAAGGCGGTGTTTGCTACTGCCGAGATCGTACCACAATAATAATAATATCACAACCTCCTAAACGGACGACTAGAGGAATAAAAACTAAAATGCACACAATCGGTCCGCTATCATCAATTATTTATACGGCGTAGGTAACCGGCTGCGTGCAGCGGAAAATAATCGAGATTAATTGATTTTTAAAATGTTTTTACGAGATGAGAAAAAAAAAATTCACCGTAAACGGTCGTGTTATGAATTCAAGTAACGTACTAGTGCCGAATGGCTCATTTCGTTTGTATATAAACAGTCAACTGGTTTGTTTTTTTGGTTTTTCAATCATGTCTGACATGGTCTAGTCCTGTGATGACAAGTCCGCACGAGACGTCTGACGTTTCTTTGTATTTTTTCTCTACGCGCAAGATTACATTATTATTGTACATAAACGAAACTGCATACCTATTATATCGTAAGCCTGTTGTTAAATGGACCACCGGTAGTGTAAATATAGAGGTCAATTTACCTAGAATTATCACCGAGATGGTTCAAAAATAAAAAAAAATTCTACTTGATGTGAAGCGTTTTTAAATGATAGTTATTTTTAATTAGATTACATTTTCATTGAACGTTTTTTTTTTTTAATTAATTTTTTTTCTTGGAAATCTGTAATATTTAATATGAAACCACTCGCGTATTTAAAAAAAAAAACAATATTTTAAGTGTCATTTCACTATTTCTGTGAGATTTTTTTTTTTAAGAGAATTTTTTTTCATCAACTAATGGTGGATTGCTAAATTTAATGAAATTATTCAGTGTTGGATTCAGATATACTTCAGATGGACTGTAGCCCATCTTAGCAGCTGAAGCATTTTGATAGCCATCTTGTGGCAATATTGGAGTGACGATGACAATACGGCTATTTTAAAAAATTTACGTGATGATTTTTTTTGTAATTTTATTGCAAAAACTTTTTTTCTGCTTGCTCCAATGCTTAGACCTTCCCACCTAAAAAAATCTGATATCTATTCTTATACGAGTGGTTTACTTCAAAATTATTATTAACTATTTCCATTAGTTTTTTATTACATTAAAAATTGTATACCTTTGTACATTCAAACTAAAATTATATTAGCAGTTCAAGTATACTTCAGTTTCTACAAAATTATTCAACAGCACAATTGATTCTTAAATTTCATTTTGAGTTATTAATATGACTTATGGTATTACTATACAGGAAGACGTGTAAATGAAATAGGTTTATATTGTAATAAAATGTATGTTATTGATTCAATATCGTCTCGTATTTCGCCATGTTAACACAACTGCAATGACCGTATTAGATCTTATACGGCGAAGGAACTCACTTCGTGTCCCAGCATTATTAAACGTATATAATATAATGTTGTATACACATACGTATTATATCGGGTAAGACACACCTGTGTTTTATGTTAATTTTTACTCGCCTACACTTCCTCGCGACAGCTTGTATTGTGTGGACCAAGTAGGTATGGACAAAAATAATGGTTTCTCACTTCTTACTGACACATCATATAAGATACGGGCATATTAGCCGTGTTGGATATTAATATTTTTAAGTTATTAATGGCTGTCATTTTATGCAGTTTTGTTTAGTTTCACTTCCTAGACAAAATGTACATATTTTACCCACTAAGGTTCATCGCTTAGCATTGTGTAGTCCTAATTCTAATCCTATAACACGACTTCTTTCTGCTATTTATTAAAATATAATAAGATCATTGTCTGGGATATAAATTATTTCTCAGATTTCCGGCATACTTCACATTGCAGTAAAATTTAACAAAGCTGTGTATAATTTACATATTATTCTATTAGTACGCGCATCTTAGTTCAGATTATATTATATCATCAGCATTTGTTTCCCTTGTTTAGATCTGACGTTTTGTAAGATATTTGGTTTAGTAAAAATTCTCGTATACTTCTGGCCATAAATGATTACACATGTGCTCAAGTATATTTTTTTAAATCTACTCATAGAAATAGATGCTTAGTCTTTAAGGCCCCGAGTAACGCACACCTGGACTCGTCTAATGAATATAAATTTTTATTGTATAACATTCCTTTCAATGAAAATGATCTTTTATTGGCGTATTAATAAATATTATTACACATATATTAACTTGCAAGTGTTTTTTTTTGCGTTCATTGATGAATAGTTGATGTTGTAATAGTTTGTAGTATGCTATGAATTAATGCAACGTCGTATAGTACACAATAGTCCCATTGACAGCCACGGTTTTTGTCTAAAACCATAACCCACAGCAATCACATAATTATTCCACAAATAATCGTCTATAAACGAACATTTAAACCAACTTAATGTAATTTATTCAAAACACTCATTAAACCGGTTTTGTAATAACTTAAAACAGTCCATTTAACTGTATCGAGACGGTATACCATGTACATGGAAATTGGACATCTAATGCCGAACAAAACCACCTACTGCCCACACACATTTTTCATGAAGTCATAGGACAGCAATGAATTAATGTCATATATAGTTAATTAAGTTTATCTAAACAATAATAATAATAACACAATAAGAATCGATGAATGTTAAGAAAATGAATTTGCATAGAACCTGTTGATACAATATTTAATAAATAAGGAATATACTCACATTAACTCGTGTAGTAATGGAGCCACAGGCATTGTAATTTTAGTAAAATATTGATGCATGTATGAAAATAATTCTATGCGTATTGCAAGGATACGAGACTAATTTTTTTATCGTAAGTATGTAATATGAACGGTATTGTACGTGCTTCGGAACGATTCGGCCGACTTACATGGATATACAATGCAGTACGCGTGTTTGTGCATAGTCTCGAAAGACTTTTTTATGCCATTCCGACCACGCACGATTACAGGAAATACTATGTGAGCACATTATTGGAAAGATTCTTCCGTGTGTGGAAAAATATTATTTTTCAAAATTACTGACTGGTAGTTTTATTTATTCTTACCAACACAATGTGTCGCTTGAGTGTATATATTTTATAATAAAGTACAATATTTTAATACAAATCATTTCTAAAATGTCACAATTACTTCATTTCCAGCGTTTATCAATGAACATTTAACCTATTGCTATTTGATTTTAATACGTGTTTGTGTCGACTATGAATGAAAGCCATTCTAACCGGTATTTAAATAATAAGAACTCACATATGCCGTGTTGTTTTAGTGACCACCATAATATGTTCAAACCTACGCAAGGCTTCTACAAATTTAAGATTCGATTGAACCGGTATTCTAGATAAAGAATTGATAGGGAACAATTTAAACTCTCAAACATTTGATATGTTCTTTATTGTTTTTTTATCGATAATTTATTAAGTTTGAAGAATATTTTGCCGTATTCTATGCTTGAATTTCTAAGATAAAATAAGGTGCAAATTTCTCTACTCAGTATAAAATTGGTAGCCCTATGACAGAATATTGCCGTTAAGATTTTTGCTCGTAGTTGATGCCACGCAAACGGGGTAAATTGAAATGATAATTTAATTAAATCGCGATTGTTGTCGATGATAAGTATTAGAAGTCGCTGCAAAATATTTGAGAGCGCGTGTATGATATACTTGTACTTGTTATATGCACTGTGAAACTGACGCATTGAAGACTTTTCTTTAATTCTTATAACGAATCCGCCAGTTCTTATGTATACATCATAAATAATAAAATATTCACACACGTACTCAAGTTTAGTCAAATATGGTCATAACGACCTGTTTCGCTTGTCCACCAAACTTGGAACAGCCGTAGTAAGCTCGTATCTCATCAACAACCATGTAATTATTATTATTGTAATGACTGGCGGCGATAGCTACCGCTAGTGAACATTGAACGTTGAGTTTAATCTTCTCTTGTATACTCGTGACTTAACCTTGATTATGTGTATTATAACACAGTAGCAACCACATTTTTAATTAAATATTTTAATCATTCTTGTGTGTATATTATCAAAGACTAATTTTGTTATTATTTCTATGTTAATAGAACAAGTCATGCGATACGCAGCGTGGTTGATAGCCATATTGGCGATGTTGCTTTATGCTACGGGGCAAAAAAATAATCAACAAGAAAACTGGAAATGCCCAGAAGTTAGAAATGTGTCGTGTGCTTGTGACTTACCACATACTTTACGCTGCACTGGTGGAAAATCTACTTTTGAGACTGTTGCTAAAGCTTTACGAAGTCTTTCGGGTACTACATCCGTATCTCTGTTAGACTGTACCGTTCAGAATGTCGCTGCACTACCAGCACGGATGTTAGAAGGTGTATCCCTGCATGGGCTTGTTGTTTCTTCTGGTGAGATCAAATCTGTCTCTGAATCAGCTTTTATCGGTCTCGCATCTCCTTTACAGGCATTAGGTCTTCCTAACAATCAACTCGAACGCGTGCCTAGTGCTGCTTTGGCAATACTAAACGGTCTTGAACGGTTAGACTTGTCTCACAACCGACTCCACACCATTCACAATAATTCGTTCAAGGTACAAAAATGATAAATAATTTTACCGTATTTTTAATTAAACTAAAAAATATATTGTTTTAGGGATCGCCAAATCTGACGTTTTTGGATTTAAGTAATAATTCTATTCATTATATCAGTCAAGATGCTTTTGTAAATCTGCCGTTTTTAAAAGTGTTACGACTTCAGAACAACATGCTTAGTTCGGCATCGACGTCTCATCTTCAAGGACTTCGATCGTTATTGGAGCTAGATCTAAGTTCAAATCTTTTGGTTGGACAATTAGGTCCAAATACTCTGCCTAGATTGCCCCATTTGCAGATACTGTCATTGGCTCACAATCAACTAAGCAGTGTACGACGTGGTTCTTTTGCTGGACTTGAAGCTATCATTTCATTATCGTTAAATCATAATCAAATCGACGTGCTCGAAGATCATGGATTTAGAGCTGCAACCACGTTGACTCAATTAGATTTGGCCAACAATCGTATTGTGGCAGTGTCGAGTGCTTCGCTAAGCCATTTGTCTAAGTTAAAAACACTTGATTTATCACACAACTTCTTAAGAAGTCTCACTTCTGATCTCATTGCACCGTTAAAGAGCATACAAGATTTGAAACTGGATGATAATGATATATCAATCATTGCTGATGGTGCTTTGAACAGTGCCACTTATATTACGGCACTTTCATTATCTGGTAAGTTTGCTTACCAGACATTTATTAATAATGATTGTTTAAAAATTACTCACTTTTCTATTTTAAAACCATAATTTATTGTTTGTGTTAATTAGGAACAATTTATTTAATATATAGTAACGTATTTTAACGTGTAGTACATGGAAAGCTCATAGCTGTTACCCGAAAAAATTATCCCTTAATTCAAAAACTTGTAATTATTATTAAGATCGAATATGAAGTTCATATAAAACCTAATATTTCATTAATTTATGTCAATTAAAGACCCATTTAAAATATGGTATATACTTTTGATAAGTAAAAAAATGTTATTAGATATAGTGGCATACTCAGGATTTTTTTGAATTTAAAGAAGTTTTAATTACTTTATTTAAATGGTTTTTAGCGCGTAATTTTTGATTTTGGAGGGTATTGACCCTATTCTTCTCCTTGGACTTTCCCTTGATTAAGTCGTGATACACGATAAAACGTATAAGTAGTACTTGGATTTAAAAAAAATAAAAATTGATGATATATAGTTTACCATTCATTTTCATCTTAATTTGTAACCATATTTTTAATATTTTAATTATTTCAGACAATCCACTTAATTGTGATTGTAGTCTATTGTATTTTGCAAGTTGGCTGTCAAATCATAGTTCGGTTTACACAGCTAGTGATACAGCTGTTTGCGCTACGCCACCAACATTAGAAAATGGATTACTTAAGGATCTACCGATCTCTAAACTTGTGTGCGGCGGTGAAGATAACGTGCCACCGCCCGAAGGACCTTTGGCTATGCTGCAATCATATTCATCAATGAAAATATCTTTACGGTCTTATCAATTTGACGGTAGTCGCATCAGTCTTGGATGGTTAGTGACGGCTCCAGTAGTATCTTATTACTGCAAAGCTTTAATCTTATATGAACATGTTGATAACCACGAAGTGCTGTTAGATTCTAAACCAGTAAGGTGTAATTCATCTCAATTACCTGACGCTAAAAGCCTGACGTTGTCGTTAGTAGCTAGTGATCTACAGCCGACACATTTCTATAGGTTAGTAATTTCATGAATTTAGTGAAAAATTATTTATTTTAAATTATTAATTAAATAGTATAACTTCTAAAAATTATTTAAAAACAATTATTTATTAATTTCTTTTTTTTTAGATATTGTTTAGTGCTGGTTGACAGTTTCACCGAAGACTCTGATGAGGCAGCAATGGTGGTAGGATGTAGCGAAAATATTTCTCTGATATCTAAAACTAACCAAGTACAACACACAACCAATTTTCTACCAAATACCAATATTCATAATATCACCACATCTTTTATATCGCCGTCATCTTTGTTTGCTGCCGTACATGTAATTTTACAATCTTCACATTCAGATCCCGCGTGTACCATCACTCTGTCAGTGTATAGTTTAACAAAGCCTTTAGCTCAACATCGATTGAACTGTACAACACCATGGACAACCGTCACTGAACTGCCGATAGAAAAATCCTATCAGGTGTGTGCTAGTATCGGCAATAAGTTCCCAAAAGACGACGAAGAAACCATGATATGTACAACGGTAGATAGCCCGAAAACTGACTGGTTTGTGAGTCTGTTTAATGCTAAAAGCTATGCGTTCTTATTTTCTGCAACTTTTACGGCCATCCTATTCTTATGCATGTTATTAGTTTATAGAACTGCGTGTAAGACATGCAAAAAACCTAATAACGGAAACATTCTACAAACACACCAATGTTTTTTGCCCGTACCACCAATCGAGAATGGATCCCAAAGACCTAGGTATGTGAAACTACAAGCAACTACAGTATTATAATGGTTACTAAATAATAACTTGCGTTGCAGCAGGAGTAGCAGAACCGATAGAAGAGTATATTCACATTAATTACTTTAGTAAAGCAATAGTTGTGGATCATCTGTTTATTTAAGCTATGTTTGCATCTTGAATTTTTTGTCTATAAATAACTTTTCTATTCTAGAAAAGTTAAATCATACAGTAATACATATAAATAAAAAATCAGGAAAAAAATTATTTAAAAAATCAATCATTATTATATTATTTATTTATTTTTTTAAATTATTTGTTCTAAATTTTTGATCAGTTTTTAAAAAGTTTCCATATTTTTTATATATTCTGTTATATTTATATCTTACCTATATATAATTAGATAATAATTTTATGTTTAATGTGCCATACATTGTTAATGAGAACCCAAGTTTTGTCTGTATTTGTTATTTTTATATTAGTTTTTTTGTTATGCTAATACAGTTGATTTTTAATTTAATTTATTTCTTAACCATTTTTTTTATAATTTATACATTAAGCATTTACATTTATTTATTTTAATAATTTAATTTAAAAATAGTAGTTATTATATAAACATAAATATCTATATTTGAAATCCATAATTTACCATGTCATAAAATTATTGATTTATGACTATAAATCATTTTTTATACAGATGTATGGATAAATTACAATTCTTTAATAATATAAAATAATGTAACAATTAGCATTAAAATTTTAAGACTGACTCTTGAAATGTTAACATTTTATATTTTATTTTGACATCAAAGTATTTAAAATAAGATTGATTTTTTTATCAATGTCTGTCTTAATGCTCAATTAATAACTCAAATGTAAATCTTCTACTTCTTTTTTCTTAACCATCATAAGTTATTTTATTTTACATTTTGTACATTGTGATAAAATTTATTTATTATTTTATTGTATTATAATTTTTTAACACTTAATTAGAGAAATAGTGTTTGAGTGAATACAAAGTCATGTGATATTGTACAAATACTGCTATTAACTACAATTTTTAGTTAATGGCATTGTACTTATTATTTTAAGGATCTAATAAATGTATAGAACACTAAAAAATTATTTTGTGTAGTTTAAGATGTACATTTTTTTAAATAAAATTAACTCTTTTAGAAATAATTTATTGGTTTCTTATACTTCACTATAAATTTCAATAACAATAGATAGTAAACAAAGAAGATTCAAAGTATATTAGAATGAATATATCAAATATACATAAAATAAATAACTAACCTTAACTGACATTCAAAATCATAAATAAATTTTGTACAATTATAATACATTTAATATAAATGTTATTAATAAATTCAATTTATATAATATCTCAATAAAATTTAAATACAGCCTTAAATATCAAAATATTATGTAGTTTTATCAATATGCTATTTAAAGATGTATTTAGGTAGAGCCACAGGAAACATTAACCCCAGTTATTGAAATTGTAAAGGGCATTTCAGACATATAACTATCAAAAAATAAGATATAACTATTACTATTACTATGGAATATTAAAAAAAAACCCATAACACTTATGTCTATAAGTAAATGTATTTTTATGTATACCTTTAATACTTTTTAATTATAAAAGACACACAAAAGGCACTGGTCTAATCATAAAATTAAAACTATATTAAAAATATTATTTGTTTAAAAACTAAAAAATATTAAACTCAAAAGCCACAAAAAATTACTGAAGTCGCAGAGACGTATTTCGGAAACAATGTTACCATTTTCAATGCTAAACACATACTGATATTCGTATCCACAACTTTTCAGTAAATTTTTTGAGGCTTTGAGTTTAATATTATTTAGTTTTTCAATAAATAATATTTTTAATATAGTTTTAATTTTATTTAATTAATTAGCCTCAAATGATCTATTTTTATTATATAATCATAAGATGTTTTTTCTAATATATTGCTGAGGAAATTTTGGTCAAGTGAGTAGAATATTTTTTTTATACAGTAAATTTCCTACATATACCTCTGATACCATTTATAAATGAAAATAGAGATGTGTAAAGTCTATGTACTAAATTGATAATAAAATTAGTTTTAAGAACATATGTATTCATTTGTATTGGTCCTAAAAACATTCTGTCTATACAACTTTTTAAATATTACAGTAATGTTTTTGTTCATACAAAACTTATTTTTACAACAATTAAATAACTATGAGTTTTATCATATTAAAATAACTTTTTATAATAAAAGAGTCAAAGCTCATATAAAAATAAAAATACATTTGACTGTATTGTCAAGACTAGGTATATGATGATTAATCAAATAGATGGTGAACAGTAATTTTTAATCAAACTGACATCACAGTTAAGATATGATCTTATGTGTTTACATTTAAAAATTTATAATTATGTAAGAAATTTCTTTTATGCTACAATGAACAATAAGGTGTTGTAATATTCTAAAAATAATAATTACTCTTTTTCATATTGTTTGAGAAATAACATTTTTAATAACAATTTTATATTTTTTACAGAGATATAGAACACTTGTTTTACTTAATGAAGGTAACAGATAACAGATATAAATGGTTAAAGGGTAGTGGTTTATTGGATTTTATAAATAAAAAAAGCAATGTTGTAATTAATTTTAAAATAATCATTTTAACATGGTACATATTTGAAAAAAATATCAATGATATTTGATTTTATATACTTTATATTTTATATATAAATAATAATCATTGCCTGACTTTGCATATTATACACATTATAAGTATTTCAATAAATTATAATGATAGAATATAATCAAACACTAATTCTAATACACAAAATTAATAAGTATATATATGTTGATAGTTTAAGTTATTAGATGGGTGAAAATATAAATATTGACATTTAGGAGTTAACATATAAAATATTAGGTTACTTTTAAACGATTTATAGTATCACCATTCCCAGATCTTATATTATTATTACGAGTTGGAGTCTTATTTGAACTATTTTTATGACTTTCTCCTGAATATGACTTCAGTAATTTTGCACTAAAATAAAATAAAAAAACATTATACATATAATTTTAAAATTTCTATGTTTTATTATAGAGAGAAATAAGATATTGTAGAACCTAGGGATTTAAAATATTTGTAGAAAATAATTTTTCTTAGTACATACTATAGTTTTGATTCTAATTCATTCTTCAGTTAATTTAAACAAAATAAATATTGTAAACTTAAAATGTGATCACTAAATAATAATAAAATTAAAATAGGTAAATTACTATGCAATTACTTGTATTACTTTGATTTTAATAAATTATTTATAAAAAAAAAGTTATATTTTATGTCATAAAATAATTTTAACATGCTAAAAGTTTATGCTTAAAAAACAATTATACATATAATTGTCTATATAATAAAATAGTCATTAAGATATTTATTTCAAGATATCCATCAAAGTATAACACATTTAAATACTTAGAATAAATATAAATATTCATTTAAAGTTTGAATAAAAAAAATTAACTGCTTAGGTTTAAATAAATAAAAAAAAAAACTGATGATATAAAATATAGAGAATTATTAGCTATATAAATCACTAAATAAATTAAGTTATGTTCTATTTTATAAATATATTGTATTTAAAAATTTTAAGCTACATACATGTCAATTAATTTTTTAAGTAGTCTAGTGAATGACTGATATTCTTCATTAGAATAATCATTTGGATCGTAACGTGCATGTTCATAAAGATCACAAAACTGATGGACTATGTGTTGCCCACTACCATCTAGTAGTACAGCTAATGTATTAAGTAAATATGAGCGTAAGTTTTCACTCGGATGTCGAATCAATATTTTATCTAGCTTAGTTATTTCGTTTTCTATAATAAATTAAAATTATTATTATAAAAAGTGATTATTTAATGGTGAACTAAAATTAAAATTATAATTACCAAGTATTTTAATGTCATCACAGGTTTTCATTCGATAGTAATGACCCGGTAATGATTTTTGATTAGACTCTGCTGGAGGTAATATATATTTTGAATGATCATTTTGTTTATTAGTTATAAGCTTAGGTTCAAAGGCTATTCTAGGAATTATTTCTATGCGTCTTTCAATTTCTCTCTTGAAAGCCTATACAATTTATAGGTATCTACATATATTCTATTAAATTTCAAAGTTTAATATATATATTTTTTATATTAAACTATTTTACTTTAAAATGAGTAGATATCATAGTACAATAGTAAAATTAAATTCTATTAAATTTAAAATATTTAATTTAATTGAACATCAACTTTTATAAACATTAGGGCTGTAGTAAGAACTAATAATATCCCTGGCAGTGAACTAAATTTACAGCCTGACCACCCAATTTGTTTGTTCTATAACAATAAAAAGCTCTAAATTAAAACAAAAACGCTCAGAACATTGTTGTAAAATTATTTCTTTATTTCATTATGAAATATAAAAATTAATTATTATGGTTTATAACAAAACTGCATCCCTAGTAAATGCCACTTTTACCAGTGCCTAGGTACAGATCTAAATATCATAATGTATCAATAAAATTAATATAAAATCAGTTAAAATATTTTTCCTGCATTAAAATTAATGTACTTATTCAATATTTGTTATAAAAAAAAATTGACAAGAAATTATGTTTTTAAAAGTAACACAATCACAATAAAAGTATTTTGTTATATTTTTAAATAATACCTTTTTTCCATCATGGCCAATTGGTACATGAGGACCTCTTCTAGATCGTAATGCAAATCTCATAATTTGTCGTTTAGCGAATATAAATAACAAAATGAAAGTCAGAATACCAATAGCTATTATTATAACTACTGTTACACCCGATAATTGTTGAGCCATATTAAATATAGTAATAGTAATTAATCCATTTAATAATATTTTTAATAAAATTCATTATAAAGTAATTAAATATATGATCTAAAAACTTGATGAGTAATATAAAGATTAAATAGTTATGATGAAATAATTTTACAATTTGAAATTAATTGACAGGAATGATGAGTGAAAAATTGATAACAATATGATAACATACTAAGAGTGGTAAAATAGTTTTATTCACATCAAATAAAGGCACAGATATCACTGCCGTATCATGTAGGATATATTTACCAGAAATTTTAGATAATTAATATATTACATTCAGTTTTGGGTAAAATAAAATTATTATTATATTTTCAAAAAAAAAATTACAATTACTAGTCCTTTAATTTTTTTTTAATATAATGAAATTACTTTACTTTACAAATAAAAAAGTAATGAGTAACTTTTCAAATTATTTTTTAACTGTTGTACGATTAAACTAAGATCAATATCTAATTTTTTCAACATTTTTGTTAGTGTTATGTGTTTATTATACACACACAGAGTGGTCTAGCATATTCTGATTCTTAATTATTGTAATATTATTTTATAATAATAATAACTCTTGATAACATTTCGTAGTAATTTTAGTTACGATGTGAAGTTAAGAACGTGTTAATTTTATTATGATGTATTTATTTATTTATTTGTGTCTATTGATATTTTTTCTTAGCTCTCACTAGACCAATTTTATTGAACGATACACCAAAAGATCATAAATCGTATGTAGTTGAAGACATTATCCTAAAAATTAAAAAAAATTTCTCGTTCTCTGTAAATGGGGGATATTTATAAAATCAGTAAATTTTAACATTTTTAAAATTGTTCTTTATTTAAAACTGTCATAAATTTTTTAAAAATGAATGAATTAAAAAAACTTTTTTTATATACTTGTTCATTAAATATATATTTTTTTTGAAAATCTGACCCTTTATCTGCTCATAGGGAGGAATTCAAAATAGTAATTTTTACACGAAAAGTTAACCTTTTTAACTTAACTTTTGAGTATGTTCCAGAAATACTTTGAGCGTCAAATATATGTTAAATTGAAACCGTAATTAAAAACATGCTTTTTTTATATAAAAATTCTTGATTTTAGAGTTTCAACTTTAATATGCTATTACTTTTTGAAAAAAGTATGAATCAACACAAATTTTTGTTACTAAATACTTTATATACATATCCCTTAAACAGTTGCCGAAGCTAACCAAAAAAAAATAATTTTAGTGTAAATAATGCAGTTGCAAAAATATGCAAATACTATTAATTTACTAAAAGCTGTAGATGTTTACACTAAAATAAAAAATCGTATATATTTTAATGTTGTATGAACTATACTTTTAGTGTTTTTACTTATTTATATTATTAAATCATATATATTTTATTTACTACATTACAAGTATATGTTATGCATAAGATTTGTAAAGTTTAATGTCAACTCTTTCTTAATATACAATTGTTATTATAAAAACATTAAATTATATTAGTTTGTTCGTTTGTTTAGAACAAATTTTATTTTACAAAGTAAAATAAATGAATTGAAAGTGAATAAAAATCGGCGAGTCTTGTGAAAAATTTCATTTAACTTTTTCTATTTCATTAGTGAACAAGTCAAAAGTAAAATAAAAATGATAATAAAATTGAAAATCATTGTTATTTTAACGATATTCAATCAATACTACTGCGTAAAAAAAACAGTGGACGCCGATTGGGAGTTGATAAAAAATGAACCGGTTATATTTTTGGGTAAGACTATATTACTAGAAAACATATACGATATGAATTTTCCGGAAGCACAAGTGTATTACGAGCAGGCTCTACTGAATAGATCTTTCAAGTACATATTTTTGATGATTTATTATGGTGAAAGGATTGCTCAAAAATTTGATATGCAATTTGAAAAAATGAAAGAATTATGTGAAAAAATCCAAGACGCTGTTACTGTCATTTGGATTTATACTAAAAGTAGAATTTATTTACCTTATGCATTCAATATTAAAGAGGAAATAGAAGAAACGTGTAAAAACCTGGACCAATCGATTGATTTAAGTTTAAAAATTAAAGAAACATTGCTATATATACTAAACAACTACCTTAAAAACTTTCCTGTGTTCAAGGAAAATAGTGTAGAATATGGTAATAATTTGGTTTTGAACACAGATACCAATCAATTTGATTGGGAAAAATTCAATAAGCTAAATAAGGAAATATTAAAAGATGAAGAAGCAGCAGTAAATATTCTTTATAAAAGAGTTATTAAAGAATTCCCTAGAGAAAATGATATATTGGTAGAAGATTTGAGGAAGAAGATAGAGGAAGCAATGACTAAAGGAAAACTGCCAGAAGAGTAATTTTTTTCATCTGCAGTTATTATTTGGTTAATGTTGCTTGTTGTTTTAAATGGCGCAATATAATTAAAAATTATTTATTAATATTTTTGAAAACTTATAACGATTTATGTGTGTGTGTTTTTGGCATTTAAATAAATACAAAATACATTAAAATTTAAAGTATATATTTATAAATATTTTACATAATAATTTACTCTTCAATTTAGCTCAAAAAAAAAATTGATATAAAATATAAACAAATGAATTCGCTGTATTCTAGCTTTCTTAAATTACTATATATACTCTGTAAAAGAATAATCTTTGTGAAAGGAATTTACATCTCTTAGTAGTAATATCTAAGCAATAGTTCTGTAAATCCATAAAAAGCGATATATTTTAGTCAGCATTTAGATAAAAAAACTGTAGCACATTGGGGTCGTGGCATAGTTGGGACAAGTTTAGATGATATCTGACAGTGATTATAATCACTATCATATGAAACGCTTCAATGCAAATCTATAGTGTTTAATTTAAAGAAATGGGTGGATTATTCCAAAATTAAAAAGAACTCTTATTTTTTGTTCTACTTTGACTACTATTTACGAGTAGAAGTCGTCGGGATAATTTGTTTTTTTTATTCGTAGTACGTTAAATAAGTATTAATTTGACATATGTTTAAAGAACGCAGAACTGCCAGAATATTATCAAAATTTAAGTTTTGTAAAAAAATTGTTATTTTTAATCCCCTCTCGTGGGCAGATTGAGGGGTCAGATTTTCAAAAATATTATATCAAATAGAAGGGAGTTACTTAATGTTTCAATATAAAAAAAAGTGTTAGGTTTTCAAAAAATGTATATCAAATGAAAGAAAAATACATATTTCTATATTAAAAATATTATTTTGATTTGTTCATTTTTCAATAAGTTTTGACAATTTTTAGGAAAAAAATGTCGAAATATAACAATTTTAAAAATCGTAATTTTTTGGAGTTTGCCATCATTTACGAGGAACAAAGGAAAATTTTTCAATTTTTGAAGGTTATGTCTTCAAATTGATACGATTTGTGATCTTTTGACGTATCATTGAGAAAAATAGATCCTGTGACAAAAAAATAGTGACAGACACAAAAATTAAATAAAAAAATAAACACGTCATGGTAAAATTAATACCTTTTCAAGTTCGCATCAAAAATAAAATATGACATTAAAATAATCAGAATATTGACACAGGTTGAAGTTCAAAAAATATAAATCATTTTTTGAAATTATTTAAGGTAATAAATAATTCTTATTTAAATAATAATTTAAATAAGAACAAAAAATAAACTAATTCGTAAACAATTATTGAAAAATATGAAACAAAAATAAATTTTTTTTAGTACTAATAAACAAAAATATTATAAATTAAAAAAAAAATAATATATAAAATATCTGTATCTTAACATCTGCCAACTGTTTTTAAAAATAATTATAATTTATTGATTAAAAAAAAATAATTAACTGTACGTCACTACGCAAGTGTATTAAATATTTTAAGTCTTTTAAAATCTAATATATTTTTATTTATTTAAAATAAAAATGAGTAAAATAGCTCGTAACTAAAAAATTACCAACTTTTATAAAAATTTACAATTAACTTTTAACATTTCAATATTTTAATATAAAAAAATATTTCTAAGGGATGATTTTAGGTTTATTTTTGATGGTTAAATAGGAACTTAATAGTTTTTTACAATTAAAGGGAGTATGAATTAAATAAAATTTGGTTTGTTAATAAACAGTAGTGCAATATTAATTTTGAGCTAATATGATTTTATATATTTTTTGAGTCAAAGTTTTTAATTAATTAAGAAATCGTATCTGTGCGTTATCATAAAAATGAAGAGTAATTAAACTACTACGATCACCGGTTTTCTAAATATTAAAATGAAAATATCTCAAAAAGTAATATTACAAAACTGGTTATCGACAAGACAAAATTGTATTTAATTTATTGTCATTCAATAGTAAAAAATAATTATGGTTTCCGTATAACTTTCGAAAATCTCCCTTACAATCTACACTTGAAATAATTTTCTTACAATAACCTTAGTTTTACAATAATACTGAATTTTAATACATTGAGAGTTTATGTAGTGAGGGTAAGTGTTAGCTCATACTGGTATATATTTATAACGCGTACCCTCTCAGCGTTTTTTAAGCGGCATTACCCTTTGAATAAATTTTTTTTTAGTCATACATTATACTTGCATAGATTGCCAATTTGGAATATATGGAATGTAGAAATAACAGCTTAAATAATGTTTTAGCTCGATAAGGTATTAATTTTACTATATTTTTTTTTGTGTGTTTGTTACCACTTTTTCTCAACTCTCATCGGACCAATTTCTTTCAACGATACGTCAAAAGATCACAAATCATATCTAGTCGAAGACACTACCCTCAAAAATTAAAAAAATGTCCTTCGTTCTCCATAAATGGGCGATATCTCCAAAAATTACAAATTTAAAAATCGTTAATTTTTGACATTTTTTTTTACTTAAAATTTCCATAACTTTTAGAAATATAGATGATTAGGAACAATTTTAGCTTCGATGCGAAGCTGAGAAGGTATTAATTTTACTATGATGTGTTTTTTTATTTTTTTTTTTATTTTTTTTTTTTGTGTCTGTGAACGCTCAATCTCAGCTCTCGCTGGACCGATTTTGATGAACAATATGTCAAAAGATCACAAATCGTATCTAGTCGAAGACATTACCCTCAAAAATTGAAAAAAATTCCCTCGTTCCCCGTAAAC